AAAAAAGCCGTAATATTACGTAAGAAATTTCGAAATATCTTACGTAATATTTTGTAATTTGATATTTCGCAATATTTTGAAATTTCTTACATAATATTACAGCTTTTTTATGGTTCATAAATTATTACGAAATATTACGGTCTTATAAATTTGCTGATGTAATTATTAGATTTGGACCCTTATATGTAATATTTTTTAAAAATTAGACTTCTATATATAATTATTTTTAATTCAGACCTGTATTTGTAATTATTTTCACTTTCTGGGTTATTTGTAAATTTTTTTAAATTTTATTGTTAATTACTAAGTATTTTATATACTATATTAATTTTTATAAAATAAAATATATTAAATTTAATAAAGTATTAATAAATATAAAATTTTAATAAAAAGAAAGTGCTTAAATTTAAATTTTATGATTTGGAAATTTTTGGTTTAGTAATTTTTGGTTCTGAACAAAGATTATCTTGTTTTTCTTTATCCTGAATATGTTTTCGAACTTCATCAAAAAGATACCATTGTCAGTCTGCATTTAAACCAGGAAGAGAAATAATTTCTGGATTTGAATTAAAATTTGCTGAAAATTTTTTTTTTTGAATTTCAACTAATATTTTTTCACTATTAATAGATTTACTTATTTCTACTTGTCCTTTAAAGTCTTTGTTAAAATAAAGTAATGTTGTTTTAAAATATTTGGTAAAAAATTTTTTAACCATTTACTCCAATTATAAAAATATACTACTTGATTTCCCTCCTTATTAAAAATAGTTTGTGCTATATTATATTTAGCTGTTGTTGAATTTTCAAGAACTTTAACTAAATCATCTAAATCATCAACTTCTGATTTAGCAAGTGCTAACTTAAATAATCCAAAAAATGAATCTGGACTAAATTTTGTATGTCTAGCAACCATAAAAGAATATTTAATTCTTTCATGATAGCTCATAATTACTCACCATGCTAAATATGCTATTATTAAATTGTTTTTATTTTGTTCAGGACAATTATCTGTATGAATAGTTAAATATTTTTCTCCTAATCCATGTAATAAAAAATAATTATGAACTAAAGAAATAACTATATTTGTATCTTTTCCTGGTAATTCACTTTCTTTAATAAGATAATTTACCTAAATAATTTAAATAAAATTAATAAATTTTTAAATTTTATATTAATCATATAATTAAAAATTTATAATTTACTTGACAAGGAAATGCATCATCACATATTCCAAAAACATGAATTTTATAAAGAGATTTAAAATATATTTCTCCCTAATAAAATAATAATTAAATAAATAAATAATAAATAAATAATAAAAATAAATAATAAATAAATAAATAATAAATAATTATTACTTCTTGTTGTGATGAAAAAGGTAAATAAACTTGTTGTACAAAATCCCAAGATAAATATAATTCAATATCTAAAGAATTAAATTTCTCTGGTCTTATTATAGTTTTTTTATCAAATTTTAAGATATTAATTTTTGCATTTTCTATACATTTTCTAATATATATAAAATTAGTAATAATTTTTAATAATAAATAATTTTAAATATAATATATATCAATATATAAAATTTTAATTATACATACTTATAATATTCACGTTCATTATTTGTAGCTTCAATATATTTATTCCATTCAATAATTTTTTGTTTTTTTTCAATTATTGTCCATTTATCAACATTAAATCGCATAACTTTACAAAAATAGCATAAATCACTTCTTGGTGTTAAAAATTTAATTTCTGGTAAAAAATTTTTAAAAATTGTTTTAAAAGAACTTAACCAACTATATAGTTCTTCAATATCATCATCTTGCTTAATAGCATCTAAATATTTTCTATATAAAGATGTATAATTTTCAATAGCTGGTAAAAAAGTAATTTCTATTTTTCTTGTTTAAAATATTGACCTAAATAAATAAATAAATATTAATAAATATTATTAATAGAATTTTATATTTTATCATCTATGCAATATATCACACTCTATAAGATCTAATATAATGTAAAATCAAACCAATAAATTAATTTGTTAGTTTAGGGTTAGGGTGAGAATTAGGTTAGGGTTAGAGTAGAGTGCTTTAGTAAAAAGGTTCTAATCCAAAAATTCGAGAGTAATTTTTTTTGTTAGAATGCAAAAGATGGTTTCATAGTGTTATAGCCAATTTTTTAAAAAATCATAATTACTTTGATTTTATGTTACATCTGATTCTGCACTCTAATTGGTTCATCAAGTAGCAATATATCGCAATGATGATAAATTATAAAACCCTTATTAATATTTATTAAAAATTTTAAATAAAATTTACCTGGTGATAGAAGTCCCCATTTATTAGCATAACTTAAAATAAAATTAATTATTTTTAAAATTGTAAAAAAAGGTATTGCAGTATGACTAGATTTTCTAGCAGATTTATGAATTCTAGCTTTAATATCTTCCTGAGATAAATGAGTTCTAATATTTTCTATTCTTGTAGATCCAATTTCATAAATAAATTTAAAAGCTTGTAAACATATTTCTTCCGAATCAAAAGAATAATTATAATATATTCTAATTCTTTTATTGCCTTTAGAAGTATTTTTTAAATTTGAACTACCAATAAAATAACCCATTAAAAAAGAATCTTGGTTACTTTTAGATAATAATTGAAAATTAAAATTTCTTAAAAAAGCTTTTTTAAAATTAATTTTTTCTTTTAAACAATTATTTTGACAACAATTTGTTTCACTTAACTGTTTTATAAAAGTTTCTTCATTATTATTAATAGTTGTTAATTCATTATTATTTAAATTATCTTCTTCCAAATTATTAACAATTTTAACATTATTATAAATTTGATGATATTTTTGTAATTGGTATTTAGAAATAAATAAAAATTCATCGCTTTCATCATTTTCATCTTCTTCTAAATTTTTATTATAATTTTCTAATTGAGAATTCTCATAATCAGTATTGACAAAATGTATTTAAAGATTCAAAAAATCATTTTGTAATGTTTGAAGTTCTTGATGAGTTTCAGAAAAAATACTATTTAATAGTAGATGAGTAGAATTTTCCATTTTTAATTTAAAAATATAAAAAAAAATATAAATTATAAAAAATATTAAAATTTAAAAAAAAAAATTGTAAAAATTTAAATATATATGTAATTATAAGGCCATGCAAAATTAATTAATTGGTTTTTATAACCTGGCCAGATCAAAATTTGACAACTTTAAAAAAAATTTTTTATATGTTTTAATAACCAGATGAAAATTAAAAAAATTTTATATAAATTTTATAAAATTTATATATAAAATTTTTAAAAAAAAGCTGGCTAGCCAAGTCTAAAATTTTCATATTATGAAAACCAAGTAATTAAATTTGTATGGCCTAATTTATAAAATTTATTGTGGTTTGGAAATGGGCAAAGATGAATAAAAAAAAACTTTTTGAAAATATTTTGTATATATTTATTATATATTGTATTATTTTAACATATCAATACTTGATTATATATATAGTGTTTATTGTTAGAAACATATAGATATAAATCAACCAGTATATAATGCTATATACGAAACTCAAAATTTTTTTATATAATCATATATGTGAAATACAATTTGAGATAAATATACATTATATAATTTATCTGCAAAATTGTTTATCATCGGATTATAAAACTATATTAAGTTATAATTTAGAGGAATTTATAAATAAGAATCCGGAAAGTACAAATACGGGCCAAATTAAAAATAATTACAAAAATATTACATATAGAGGCCTAAATATAATAGTTGAAAAAACAGATTACCGACTTAGAACAATATGGGATCTTTGCTAGAAAAATCATCCTTTGGGATTTTCTGATTGACTAATTCAGAAAAGCTTAGACTAGAATGCCAGATCTAATTCATATGCTTTATTTATTTAATAGTTTATTAAATAAACTGTCGAATTAGTAAAGTTTACATATGAATAAGAACTGATATTCTGGTCTAAACTTTTCCAAATTAGCCTGATTAGAAAATTCTGAAGGATTATCAATTGTTTTATTATAAATATTTAGAGTTATCTATACTAATTATTAGATAAAAAGATAAACAAAGTGCTAGTTATAATCACTTTTGCTTAAGTTTTGTACAAAAATAGCATTAATTGATGATCCGTAAGTCACCTAAAGAAAATGATCTGCAATCACTAAGTAAACGTGATGCAGTTTAATTAATAAATAACCTAATATAAAAATGTGAAAAATTTCTATATATGTGTATGTACGTATATATGTACATATTGGTATAAATTACTGAATTATCTATTGTACATATGTACTTTACATATCTTGTATGTACCCATCTACAAACTTACAAACTTACAGTTTATTGTTTAATAGCCTATCTACTATTCCAAAACTCACCTATTTATTACTTTGTAGTCTATCTCGCTAGTAGTTAAAACTCACTTATAATTAAAAACTAACTCACACGTAAGTTAAGACCCGATTTAACTACCTGCTAATTAAACCAATTCAATCTACCTGCTATTTTAGATCCCACAAAACTATAAACAACCTGCTAGTTTAGTTCACAGATCCCAAACAAACCTACTAGTTTAAATATTTAAATTATAT